TGTTGGGTAACGGGCCATTATCAGATTTGATCCTGCTTTTGTTCACAGTAAATAACTTAGTCTTCCATGAAGAAGCCTCAGATTTCCTTTCCAAGTATGACGCAATGTGACTTGAGAAAGAAAAGAATATTTAGACATTGAGGTCTTGTAACACTTCACCACCCACTTCTTAGTAATAGTTTCAAGATTCCTGTAATGTTCTTTTTGTTCTGTCACAACGTGTTCATATTTTAATGTAGACTGTAACCAAAAAGGAAAACCATATGGTCTGCTGTGAAAAAAAAAACCTTGATATTTTTTTTGTTGCATCCAATGAGGTTGCAAATAGGAGAAAGTGCTTCTAAAATGCTTCTTCAGGGCTTTTTAGTTGTTATCCTAGCAGATTCACAGCTTCTTCTGCTTATAGCAAGAATGAATAAATTCAAGAACTTGTCTGATGTTTGATATCACTGTGTTTTCAGAATTTATAATAGTGTTGGCTCTGGAAGAAGGGTCTGATTTCATTGTTTACGGAGTGTCTTCAGCATCAGAATAACTTGTGCAAGAAGACACGCAGATCAGATACAGCTGGTTGGTGGTATGGCTTAGGTTAACTTAAAACTGTTTTTATTGGGATCTGCAGTTTAGATGGATAGATACTTGTATCAATTCCATGAAGGACATTGCAGTGCAACAGCAGTTAATCAACACAGCATGGCACAGGGTAATTCAAAACTGTGCATGTGCACCTAATATATTTAAAAAACAGGATACTCAAACAATTTGAAACATTCTTTTAAAAATGTCAAAATTAGAAATTTGAGTGCATATGTCTTGTTCCGTTTAGCATTCCAATTAATGATTCTGGTTCCTAAATTATTCACTTATCCACTAATTTTAAAGGAATAAATAAAGGAGCTGATTAAACATGATGTCAATTGGTAGGCTGATCCCAAAGACAAATTCACCGTGTGTTCTCTGGGGAATTTTTAATGTATTTGTTTCTATAGCTGTTTTCCGTTTGCAGTGTTTTGATTCTGAAGCTTTGCCCACATAAAAAGGCAGTAATTGCTCCAACAGTCAACAAGTCATTATTTCTCAGATAAAGTTCCTATTTAGCACTTCTGCGATTAGCCAGCAGTGGTTTGTGAAAAATGGCACTAAATAGGCTTTCTAATGGAATTGCCAAAATGGACTTTCAGCTGTTGTAGTATGAAGTATGAGAACAGATATCAGCCTACCTTTCCACAAAACCCATGACTAATTCACACCATGTACAATTGAGATTAGAAGCCACACGTTCTAGTGTTTTCAGTGAGTAACAACGGTGTGGTTGAGTTAAGATAATACTATATGAGTAATGATGCTCAGTGTGCTGTTTTAATGGCTAAAAATGAAGCCTTAAGGCAAACCTGCCCCTGCTGGACAAATTTGCTGTATGTGAAAATATGTAAGATGAATGTTGTGTGAAAATTGTTTTCTTGTAAGCATTACTTTCATTAAACCTTTGGTGTGCCTGCTTACTAGGCTAAAAACAAAGATGACTTGACTTTTTTTACACATGTATGTTTATGGAAAACAGCATTCTATAAGCTGTTCACTTGATTTTACAAATGGGAACCATATATATATGATCCATGAATAAAATGCAAATACGGTCAATTCAACACTTTAGGCCTATTCAGAATCAGAATCGGAATGGGCTTTATTGCCAGGTATGTTTACACATACGAGGAATTTGTTTTAGTGACAGAAGCTCCACAGTGAAACAGAATGACAGTGACAAGACAGGACATAGATAATAAAAAGAATAATATACAAATATACAAAATAGCAAAAACACAATATATAATATAGACAATTATGTATGTACAGGTATGATATGTGCAAGTTTGAAATGTAAAAAAGTATGTGTGTTAAATAAATGTATAGTAGTGTTGTGTGTTCCACGTTTATTGTCAAGTGTTCATGAGTTGGGTTGGGTGTCGGAAGAGATGTCCCCTGTCGATTCTCGTTTTGTTTCATTGCACTCAGTGAATATAAT